CCCTAACCCAGCAACAAAGCAAGCTCAAACAATTTAATGAATATGAGGGCCTCTCCTTGTGTCGGAGGAAAATGAATGATTTGTGTTAAGTAACTAATTAAAACAGATACACACACACAAAAAATCAGGTATGCATGTGACTCATCATGCGCTCTGACCAGGGTATACGAGCCTCCCTCTACACCTGCTGCCATTCATACTCAGCACTTTGCCTTGAGCAGCAAACCAACTCACCACTCCTGACACCATGAGCTACTATGGCAATTACTACAGAGGCCTGGGCTACAGCTGTAGAGCCTTTGGTGGCCTAGGCTATGGCTATGGCTGTGGATATGGCAGCTTCTGCCAACTGGGCTATGGCTGTGGCAGTGGATCTGGCTCTGGCTTTGGAGGCTACGGATATGACTGCTGCTATCCATCATGCTATGGAGGATACGGATTCTCTAAATTCTACCCTGAGGACCCAACATCAGAGGTCATAAAAACATTCAAATTAACCAAATATTGAATCAAATAAGGTCACACTGGACCAGTCCAAGATAAAAAACATTTAGGATCTAAGATGTTAGGAATATTTGTTATTATTTTATAATTGTCTATATTATGTCTGCTGACATCCACTATCTGTACTTTCCTAACTGTGGAATTGCTCAGTTCCTTTTGCAATAAATTGTCTCAATTTGAAATAGCACACATTGTTTCTGTTTATTTATTTATCTATTTATGTAAATGTTGACTCTCCATTTCATTGCATATTTCTTTTCTTGAGAGCTTCCCAATAATCTTAAAATTCTCGTTATGTGTTCATGTAACAGTCACAGCTGAGTTTATGATGATTAGTCTAATTTTCACACTATATGCTTCCTTGTATATAAGATTTTGATGAATCTTGAACCTCTCAATTTCTAGCATATCTAGATCTAAATAAAAGTAATTAGTAAACGATGATAAATTCAAATGGTATAAAAATAGTAGGAAGAATTAGAAAGGCTCAGACTTATTTACTAAACATAAGAATAGGTTTATACAGCCTGCTAGTAAGACCCACACTTTTAGTCAGTCTAAATACGTACACTGCCCCTTGACTGGATCAATAATTCCATTGGAGGACTACACTACTTAGTTTGACAGAGGATGACAATAGCTCTTCCATTTTCCTAATCCTGAGTGGTATTTTACTTCAATACAGGAAAAGGCCTTCTGTAGCTATAAATAAGTATAATAATCAATTTAACCGCTTAGAGAAAGCACTTGTTACTTCTAGTACCATGTAGTATGACCAAATTAATAGAACTTGGATTCATTGGTTTTATGGGTCACTGCAGGATTTAAAAGAAGTATTCCAGAATATCTTTACTTTCAGGGAAGAGCTTCGTTTATCTTAGGAAAAACCCATTACAACAAGATCATAGCCCCAAAATAGATGCATATTTGGCAGTGTCTGAAACCTGTTTGATTTATTTGTGATTATGTTGCTTTAGCTTGAGTTAATAAAAAATGTAATATTCAAATTACCAACTGCCTTTTTAAAAATAATCACAAAAATAGAACAAGTCTAAAGAAAACAGACAAAAGTTTTAAATAACAATGTGAGAGGTAGTCAAAATTTTTAAAACTAGAACTGAAAACATTAAACATAAAACAAAAAGATTTTAAAATGGGAGTTTATTATATTATTGCATTTTATTTATGTAAAGATACCATTTTAAGGTGAAAAAATCTACATATTGAATGAAAATATTTTTAATACATAAATCTGTATTAAACTATCTATACCCATATAAAAAGATCTCCTGAGAATAAGTAATAAAATATTACTAGCCCAATTAAAAATGAACAAAATACTTAATCAGGCATCTCAAAAAAAAAAAAGATATCTAAATGGCCTATAAGTATATGTAAAATTGCTGAATATCATTATTAATCAAATAAAGAGAAATTAGAATAATATCATATTGTATTCACAAGTTATACATAGTGATACCATATTGTATATGATATCATATTGAATATCATATTGATATCATATTGAATATATGAATACAATAATATCATATTGTATTCACAAGATTCACATAGTGATATCACTATGTATTCACAAGAATGATCAATTCTTTAAAGAGTTTGAAAATGATCCGTGTAGGGTAGGATGTGAAGCAACTGAAACTCTCAAACGTCCCTGTTGGCACAGTAAATTTAACAACTCGTAAATATAATGCTGTATCTTGAGATTGGTAGAAACTATGGAAGCTAAACATATATTATATAATATATAATAGTATTTGTTATTTACGATGATATATAATTATATGTAATGTATAAAATAAGTATAGATATGTTACAAATTAGCAATTCCTATACCAGCTATAACAAAGTTATAGGAAAGGCTAGGTCTAAAAATAAGGATCTTAGCTGGGTGTGGTGGCTCACTCCTGTAATTCTGGCACTTTGGGAGGCCTAGGCAGGTGGACTACTTAAAGTAAGAAGTTTGAGACCAGCCTGGCCAAATGGTGAAACCTCAGCCCACTAAAATACAAAATTATTTTGCATTTGGGAATGGTGATGCATGCCTGTACTCCCAGTTCCTTGGGAGGCTGATGCAGGAGAATAGCTTGAACCTGGGAGGTGGAGGTTGCAGTGAGCTGAGATAGTGCCACTGCACTCCAGCCTGTGTGATAGAGAAAGATTCTAACCCCAAAAAGTAAAAATAAAAATAAATAAATAAAAATAAAAATAAAAGAATAAAAGAATCTTTATAAGAAGGCATACAGCAGCTTTCTTTGTTCATGCTAGCTGCAAAAACAAAACCAAATCAAAACTGAAACCACCAAATTCTTCAAATATAGGTCTACCAGAGCAGAATCATAAATCAGTTGTGCTCTATTCATGTAGTAGATTACTTTTCACAAATTAAAACAACAAAATTCACATTACATATGATAGAGATCTACCAAATAGACAGTGATGCACAGAATAATTGGGGATGGAAATGGAAAATGTCAGTATACTATATGAGACCACTAAAGTGAAGCACAGAACAAGAAAACCTTATCTAGGAAGTTAATAGTTACTCTACCAGCAATAATATTAGCTGGTAGAGTCAAGAGACAGATATAGGGAATTATGGTATGCTTGATATAGGTGGTCCATAAGTATAAGCAAAGTATCACCAACTTGTATACTTAAGACTTAAGTATTTTTAAATATACCATAAACAATAGCAACAAAAAAGCAAATAAAATGATAGGTGATTTGTTCCTCTAAAGAAAGCAAGCTATTTGAGCTAATTTCTCTTGTAAATCCTTATTTTTGGATACATTTATAGTACTGTTCATTCCAATGAGATGTAACATTTTTTACCTGTAAGAACTTTAGAATTCATTTGTCTATTCAACAATTATATATTGAGTCTCTATTGCATGCTGGTCATTGAACTGCAGCCAACAAATCTAGTTGGAGAAATGTATAATTTGAAGCTATAATTCGAAAATTACTCATAAACTCATCAAAAGCTGAACAGTGTATTCAAAATAATAAAAATCCAATAAGAAATTATATATTTAAGCTTAAAGCTAAGGGCCTATGTGGGTGGGGTTTGAGATCAGCCTTAGGTCTAGGTGACTAACTTCTTAGAGTCAGCTGAGGTACTCTTTGTCTTTAATTGTTATTTTCTTCATTCCGTGTTTTCACATTATACATACTTTGGGGGATTTCTAATACATTCGCAGTGGTAACAGTCTCTTACTGAATTTCCCAGGTTCCTTGGCGATGGCATATATTTGCAACATCTAGTGCTTTAATAAATACTTAACATCTTAGTAAAGATTAGTTAGCTATTTGCTTTTTTTTTCCCCCATTTATTTAATTTTATGGCATTTCAGGTTTTGGGTTACATATGAAGAACATGCAGGATTGTTGCATAGGTAGTTATTTTCTTTTAGGAAAGAAAAGGAACGTACAATAGGTAAAGGGAATATAAAGGCAAAAATATGAAAAAATGAAGATATTATATAATATACAAATTTAAGTAAGTATTAAATGAAAATTGATGGGAGGCAAAGAGAATTCATATATTTCATCATCTCACTTAGCCCCAGACCCTAATGGGAATTAAAAGAGTGTATTGATAAGAGGACAGTTGTGTGGATCAGGGAAAGGGAATGATGGTGTTTATAAGAGAGGGGGGCAATATAACGTGCATTTTTGGTAGCACCTTGGATGTTTAATATGTCAGTAAGGGAGTCAGGATGGATATGAAAAAAAAAATTTGAACAGTTTGTAAAGCTGCTTATAAAATAGATTTTTGATTACTGTGATTTGACTTCAGTGCTTGAGCAATTTTCTATTATGTTGTTAAATCAAAACGATTTTTATTTTTTAAACTAGTAAAACAAAATAAAAGAGAATATTCATTATGATGACCAATGTTCTAGAATAATAGGAGAATGATGGCTTTAACTTTTTTACCCGGTGAAGTTCTTTACTGTTATGCATAGCAGGGGACAGATGGCTCCAGTCTTTCCAATGTATTTTTCTCTTTGAAAAGGGACCTCACCTGAGGTACAAGATACCTCTGAAAGAATGTGATAAATTTCAGGGCCTTGAATTTAACCAGGGTCTTTTATTTAATCATAAATGAAGCAAAACAGTTCCAGGAAAGCCAGAGATGAAGCAATACTTAATTTCAAAACATAGCATTACCAGCTGTGTAATACAATATGCCTATGAAGAAGTCTATTTGAGGTCTGCTATGTACAGACTTTGAAGCTACAGCAATTTCTTCTCATAAAAGTGATGCAATATGTTAAAGGGACAGCATGGCAAGACAGCATTGGAAGCTCAAACACTTTAATTAGCTTGAGGGCTTCTTCAGATGTCAGGATTGGGTCAGCTAAGCGTAACATGCAGAATTACACTAAAATAGACAGCAAGTGTTTGTCACGTGATCTGTCAGGGTATATAAGCATGCCCGCACAGATGTCAACATTCACACTCAGAACCTTGCCTTGAGCAGCAAACCAAACTCAATACCTGGGACACTATGAGCTACTACGGCAGCTACTACGGAGGCCTGGGCTATGGCTGTGGAGGCTTCGGTGGCCTGGGCTATGGCTATGGCTGTGGATGTGGCAGCTTCCGCAGACGGGGCTATGGCTATGGCTGTGGCTATGGAGGCTATGGCTATGGCTGTGGCTTTGGAGGCTATGGATATGGCTCCTGCTACCCATCATACTATGGAGGATACGGATTCTCTGGATTCTATTAAACTACTGCCCCAGCGACGCAGTGTTTCAAATTACAAGAGGACATTCCAAAGCTGACTTCAACCATTGGACAACCAAGATCATGCTGGACCTATTTGCACAAAATAATTTAACATCTCAGAACTTCAGGCAATTTTGCCATTTACACTCATATCTCTATCATAATCCTAGTATCGTCTACTTTTGCTTTTATAACTGGTTGAAGTATCTATCTTCCAATAAAACATTCTAATTTGAAAACACAATATGGTTCTGTGTTGTTCATGAAACTCAGTTATATGTAAGTGATGACAGTTACATTCTACTCAATTGTCAGCGAGAGACGCTATCTCCTTGGCTGAGAATCTATGTTTTTTCACATACCTCATAAACATGCATGCAGATAGATAAATAAATACCTCCAAAGAATAATAGATTAAAATGAAAACAAGAACTTCAAAATGGTTAAAAATCTGATGTTTTTCAACATTTTGCTTTTAATTAGATAATATTCAGATTTAAGGCAACAACAAAAATTAATACCAACTTAACATGTCTATATATTTGTATATCAAGCGTATATATTTGTATATCAAGCGTATATATTTTATTTAATTCAGGACGTATTTGTCAATTAGCTACAAATGTGTAACAAATCCTTTTATTCATTCAAAATTTGTTTCTTTTTATTGTAAAAGCAAGCAAATGGTTACAGATCAAACCATATTACTGGGTTAATTATGAAAGTTTATTATCTTTCCAAGAATTACTGTATTTGGTATAACCTCACCCTATCATACTTTTCTGCACGTTAATTTATTTGACATTTTCATTGAACAACTGATGTATGTAACTATTAAATTAGTATAGAATTTTTTTCACATTGGATTAACCTATTTAGCTCAAAATATTTAACTAATTTTTTTCAACTAGCTTTTCTATTATCTTACTTGATCTTCATGGCATGATATGGCTATCTTCTTCACCATTATCATTATATCAAAAAATTTGCAACTTAACAAAGGAAAGAAATAAGTCTTTGTTGTCAACTAATTTATTTTTTAGCCTAAGCTGATGACAAGAACACTTTGATCCAAAGTGTTCTTACAAAGCTTTCTTACAAAGCTGAATTTCAGTTAAACCACTCCCCTGATAAAAATAGGAAGGGGGGCATTTTGTTGATGAAATTTTAAACAGACATAAATGAATATCAACTGTTTTCTAAAGTAAAATGATATATTCAACAAACAATACAAAATCAAGACATTTTGTTTGAATCAGTCAAAACTTGTTAAATGTGTTTGATTGAGTCACATAGTAGCATCAAATGTTGCTGAACTAGAACAAACATTAAGCGGTAGCAGTTACATTCATTTAATCTTTTAGGTTAAAAACCATGACAACAGCAAAAACATTCAGAAAACTTACACCAGTTCTAGTGGCAGAGTCAGGATCAGGGTTATTGCCAAGGTCTTCTGAATGCAGGTGCCACCATGACGTCTTTATTCCCATCATGTCTTCTCCCTTCATGAAACCAAAGAGGATATCTTGAAAGTTCTGCTCAGTTTCCATAACATGACTGAATTTACAGGGGACGTAAAGGTGGTTTCTTAGAATCACTATATCTATAATATTTTACTGTTCTGATTTAGAGAATTGAACCTCTTAATTTTGATGTTATCTTCATCTAGATTTCAATTGTAACATCTATATGCATATCTATATGTATGTGTATATATACTTATAAGTATACCTATATTTATCTGTATGGGTATATCTATTTCAAAAGATTAAAGTTTTCATTTGAAAGTCACAATGTTAAACTTGTTTAGCCATGTGGTATCAGCTATTTTTCTAGTCAATTCAGTCTGGGTGTTATAGGAAAATAATATGTATAAACGGAAGGTACAGTTGTGTGTTTCCATTATTTTGCACTTATTTATTCAGGTTAATAGTTTCAAAGTCAATGGACATGCTCTATAGAGCTAAAAATAAAAACATCCATCAATGTGATTACATTGAGAAACATTGTATATTATACTTTTATTCAAATGCATTATCAAATTTTATTACATCTTATTATTTATTTAATTCATTTTTATATGTCTTAAAGAAAAATGTTTTGAATTTATGGAAAAATGTCTTTATCTTTCAAATAAAAGTTATCATTTGGCCAATAGAAAACTTAATTTTCAGGGCCGGGCGCGGTGGCTCACGCCTGTAATCCCAATACTCTGGGAGGCCGAGGCGGGTGGATCACGAGGTCAAGAGATCGAGACCATCCTGGTCAACGTTGTGAAACCCCGTCTCCACTAAAAATACAAAAAAATTAGCTGGGCATGGTGGCGAGCGCCTGTAATCCCAGCTACTCAGGAGGCTGAAGCAGGAGAATTGCCTGAACCCAGGAGGTGGAGGTTGCGGTGAGCTAAGATCGCGCCATTGCACTCCAGCCTAGGTAACAAGAGCGAAATTCCGTCTCAAAAAAAAAAAAAAAAAAAAAAGAAAACTTAACTTTCATAATTACACACATGAACGCAGGATCTCAGTTTCACAATTAGCTCATTATCTTCCTGGAGAAACCTTCCAAAAATAACATAACAGAGAAATAATGGTACAAGTCATTGAGTCCATTGAATTCGGAGAAAAAAAAAATCAGAAAAGTAAACATTTCTCAGTTTCCAACTGAATTTCAGAATCACTATCCGAAAAAGATACTATAATTGTTCTACTTTTTAATTAGGAAAAAAGCAGAAGTATTTGAGTGTTTTGGTTAATATATTTCACAGCATTATATAATCATATATGTGCATGTATCTACATATGTGTATTTGTGTATCACAATGAGATATATCTTATTATTTTGTTATTTGAAAATACTAAGTAAAACAGGGCACATTCTATTAATTAATATTTCATTTATAATAAATAATAAAATGTGACTTTCATTTGTAAAATCCATTGGATTATATTTCCCTTGGACATGGTTATATGCATCAGAAACAGCAATGTACATTAGCCTAACATGAAAGTTATAAAATCTAGCAGGTTTACTCAAGAATTCATGAGGTTCTTAAACTAGTTAGATTTTTTTTTTGTTAATTGTTTGTTTTCAAAAACTACCCGTGGAGAATAAAAAAAAAACTGTCCAGTTTTCTTTGTCAGGACAAAAATAAAGGTGGAACGAATTTTGACTAGGAAGTGGAAGAAAAGTGGTATCTGTAAAGCATGAAGACAAGGTAATCTGAATTTCTAGGTAACATTTTAGGTAGAGCAAATTCTGGAAAAGTGCAGAATGGTATAAATAGACTTGTTTGTGACAGTCTCTCTCTGTCACCCAGGCTGGAGCGCAGTGGCACGATCACGGCTCACTGCAGCATCAACCTCCGAGGGATCAAGCAATCTTCCTGCCTTAGCCTCCCGAGTAGTTGGAACCACAGACGTGAATCTTCACACCTGGCTAATTTTTTAATTTTTTCGTAGAGACAAGGTCTCCCTATATTGCCCAGACTATTCTCAAACTCCTGGTGATATAATTTGGCTGTGTCCCCATTTGAATCTCAACTTCAATTGTATCTCCTATGATTCCGTCACGTTGTGGGAGGGATCCAGGGGGAGATAGTTGAGTCATGGGGGCTGGTCTTTTCCATGTTATTCTGATGACAATGAATAAGTCTCATGAGATCTGATAGGTTTATCAGGGGTTTCTGCTTTTGCTTCTTCCTCATTTTCTCTTGCTGCCGCCAGGTAGGAAGTGCCTTTCACCTCCTGCCATGATTCTGAGGCCACCCCAGCCATGTGGAATCTGTAAGTCCAATTAAATATCTTTTTCTTCCCAGTCTCAGGTATATCTTTATCAGCAGTGTAAAACAAATGAATACACCTGAGCTCAAGCAATCCTCCCACCTTGGCCTTCAGAATTACAGGAGTGGGCCATTGTGTCCCACCTGGGGAGAATATTTTTGAAAAGCTGTTCAGGCTGGTGTAAAAGTGAGTTTGTTTATTATGTTGATAAGCCAGAATGATGTTTTGCAAGCTGTTATAGAAGTTAAAGTAGTTTTATATTATGCCTACTATGTGTTTTTCATTACTTTGTATTTACCACAGCTAATCAGAAAATTTATTTCTTCAAAAAGCTTGTTTTCCTTTGAAGGAGGGATAGCCTTAATTTCTCAACTCAATAAATATATTTGATATTTGAAGGCTTTACTAGATTTAAACGTTTTAAACTTGATCAATGTATTTAAATCTAAGTGGTGGTAAAATAGAACAATCTAAGGAATGATATAAAAATGAGAAATGAGAAAATATTTAATGAAAACATATTGTCAAATACAGATAATTCAATATGCTTAGTGATGAAGAATTCTATGTACGATTTTTAAATTGTGTAACTGAAGATGCAGATTATTTTGTCATTTAAAAAAAATGTATTGGTTGGGCATGGTGTCTCACGCCTGTAATCTCAGCACTTTGAGAAGCCAAGGCAGATGGATCACTTAATGTCAGGAGTTCGAGACCAGCCTGGACAACATGACGAAACCCTATCTCTACTAAAAATACAAAAATTAGCTGGGCGTGGTGGCAGGTGCCTGTAATCCCAGCTACCTGGGAGGCTGAGGGAGGAGAATCACTTGAACTCAGGAGACAAAGGTTGCAGTGAGCCAAAATCACACCACTGCACTCCAGCCTGGGCAACAAGATAAAGATTCCATCTAAAAAAGAATTTAAAAAGTTCAAGGGCATTCTAACCATGCAACTAAGCCTGCTCAAAGATTTTAATGAGTTTGTGTCTCTCCTTGTGCTAACAAACAGATTGATGATTTGCATCGAGTAAATAAATAAATTGGAATGCTGTGAAAGAATAGCCATATGTTTATCACATATTCTGCTCAGGGTATATAAGCATTCCCTAAACATGCTGATATTCATACTCAGGTCCTTGCCTTGGACAGCAAACTGAACTCACTATCCCTAACACCATGAGCTACTATGACAGCTACTACAGAGGCCTGGACTATGGCTATGAAGGTTTTTGTGGCATGGGCTATGGTTACAGCTATGGATTTGGCAGTTTTCACAGACTGGGTTATGGCTATGGCTATGGCTATGGAGGCTGTAAATATGGCTGTGTCTACAGAGGCTATGGAGATGGCTGCTGTTGCCCATCATGGTACAGAGGATATGGATCCACTGGCTTCTACTAAGCTGCTGCTTTAGTAACACAGTGTCTGTTACCTTAAGGGGATTTAAAAACAAGTTACTTACT